TGCACTTCGGAGTGTTGCATGTACCATGGAGATATCTCCAATGATTTCTGAATGAGCTTGTTGGTGCATAGTATGCTATTTTTGTTGATTTTTCCTTAGAATGGCCTTATTGCTTGATGGTATCATGCACACAAAGGGAAAATGCCTTTTTTTGTGAGGACATCCTATCACAAATGAAGTTCCACATGGAAGAAAATGAGTCACTAGAATCCCAAATATAAGAATAGAGTGTGTCAAGAACGAATGCTTCTCCTATGTCAGTGTTTTTCATAGACTGAGGTGAAACTGTCATCTAGTGGTCATAATAGGTGTTCCTGAATTAACATTTTCATTTGGCTATAGCCGGAATGTTTCTCATTCCCAGGATGTATCGCCTGAAAATACTATGCTAAATATATATATATATATATATATGTTTGTGTGTGAGAGGCTTTGAGGTGAAGGGAAAACCCCTAGAATTTTTGATCAAGAATAAACAAATTTATAACTTTGTGCAGCAGGGCTGTGAACTCCCTTTTTCCCTCTCTCTCCTGCAGTTTACCACAGCAGCATATTGGCTTCTGCCTTACTGAACAGCTGTTGGAGGCTGAAGATCAAGATGACTGAAGCTAAAACAGGGCATCAAAAGAACTTCTGCTGTTAGGTATCCTACTACAGTCATTTTACAGGTCAGCCTCAAATTCAAATTTCCCCTTAAAAATACTAGCAACGCTTCACCCTAACTCATCCTAGGTGGTCAAGTTTTGTTACAGCATGTCGTGGTTTAACCCCGGCTGGCAACTAAGCACCATGCAGCTGCTCGCTCACTCCCCCCACAATGGGAAGGGGGAGAGAATCAGAGGAGTAAAAGTGAGAAAACTCGTGGGTTGAGATAAAGAAAGCTTATTAGCAAAAGCCACGCACACAAGCAAAGCAAAGCAAGGAATTCATTCACCGCTTCCCATGGGAAGGCAGGGGTTTAGCTATCGCCAGGAAAGCAGGGCTCCATCACGCATAATGGTTACCTGGGAAGACAAATGCCATCACTCCAAATGTCCCCCTCTTCCTTCTTCTTCCCCCAGCTTATATACTGAGCATGACATCATATGGTATGGGATAGCCCTTTGGTCAGTTTGGGTCAGCTGTCCTGCCTGTGTCCCCTCCCAGCTCCTTGTGCACCTGGCAGAGCTGAGAAGCCCTTGGCCAGTCTAAGCACTACCCAGCAACAACCAAAAATCAGCGTGTTATCAACATTCTTCTAGTACTAAATCCAAAACACAGCACTATACCAGCTACTAGGAAGAAAATCAACTCTGTCACAGCTGAAACCAGATCACAGCATCAGTGCAATGCCAGCATTTTCAGTTGGACAAGCACAGGGAGAATAGCCTTCAGCCTGAAGGTGTAGGTCTTCTCTTGTGCATTGACTCCAGCAAGTTGTAGTAAACCCGCAGGGATATATCAAGAAACAACAGGCACCATGAGTGGGCACAGCCTCAGGCTTCTAGATCTTGGAGTACAGACTGCTTTATATAAAAGCTACTCTGTAGCAAGTGTATTGACAGGTCACTACGTGCGTCTCTGCGCTATGGGCTGGTTAATGTATTAGTGTTTTACAGGTGACTGATTGGTAAAGCTAATACTAACAGCTAGGCAATAATGACTGGAGTTCAGAGAATAAATGTGAAAAACAGCAGGACTGGTAGACACTGTAATAAGAATATACTCTTACAAAGAAGAAAACTGGCGGAGCAAAGTGCAGTGTTACGAGTTTGATGACTCAGGCTAGACGACTGCTGAATAGCATTAGCACCTGCATATAGTATCTGTGATACTGTGGGCAGAGGCAGGTGTGATTCTCAGGTTTTTGTATGGAGAGATTCACGTGTACTGATCTGTGACAAAGCTTTTATGCAAGCCATATCTCCTGGAGCAAATTAGTTCACATAAGTCATAATACTTAGCAAACAAACTTCTCATCTAGCTCAGTTTGCAGATTCTGTGTATTATTTGTATTTTCACAAGGTTTCAGAGCCCCAGTTTTGGGTTAGGATCCATTTATTCAAGGTGTTTGCAAACTCACAACTTCAAGACAGCATCTACCTTGTAATGCCTACAAATTTTAGGCATGTATTCAGGGGCAATGCTGACAGAGGCAGATGATGGGGACCATAAGGAAATTACAAGACAATCTGATCTGTGTAATCAGCAGTAATTCCAGTGTGCCCACACCCTAAAAAAAAGAATGTCTTTCTTATTGAACAGGTGTCATTGCAGAAGTTAAGCAAAGATACTGAAGAAACACAGTGAGGTACCTTTCTGGATGTTCATGCAGTTTCCTAACCGAAGAGTGTCCCATCTGAGGTAAATGACAGAAAGAACAAGATGAATTATTTTTAAACTTAACATGTGATCAAAGTTAGCTGGCATCTTTCTCAGTCAGAGAGAAACAGTTTCTCAAGAGTGAATGCAAGGGAGAACAGCTTAGGCTATGGGAGCCTTGCTTAGATATTCACTAGCGAAATATATTTAGTAGTGAAAATTCTTTGCTCGGTACTTTCTGTGAATAGGTTTTGGTCTGACTGCATTGCTTCTTTCTGTGCAAATGTATTTTTTGAGCTTTCTTTCTAGTTATTACTAAATGCTTTGC